TCAGGAGGGGTGTTCATTCCTGGACAAGCCCACAAACGTTAGGAAGCTCTTCACAAGCCTCAAAACCACCGCCACCCGGTTGCGCAAGCCCAAAGCCAGCCACGAGTGGCGGGTCTAGAATCTGACCGTGGTTGGCCGTGGTTGACCAGTGCCCGTTGCCCATGGCTTGAGCAAAAATTAATCAGGCTGTGGCAACTTGCAGCTTGTAAACGCTTCAAAGAGTGACATCTAGTGACCACGCTTGGGTCAACTTGAGTGTCTTTCTTGAGGTACCCTTTTTGGGTGGGTGTAGAGGCACCAAAGGAACACCATTCTGGATGTCCCTTAAAGAAAACAAACAAAGACACTCTTGGGGTGCATGGATCAGTCTGTACGCGTGCTCACTCTCGCAAACCCCTGGATCTCGAAGTGGACTTGTGGTGCTGTCACTCTGCTACAAACAAGTAGAACCGAAATTAAGAAACAACTTCCAGCAATGATTCTCAGGTGGAATGTACGCATTTGAAGGCCAGTCCAACCGCAAGCGCGATTGCCAGATCGAACAACAGCAATTCTGCAAATCTGTTAGTAAGACCAAGCTCGCAAGAGGCGGGTTCTGCCTTTTTGGATGTTCTCACCTGACAAGAATGATTCCAATGGAAGTGGGAAAGTGTCACCGGATCCGTTGCCCCCAACATGCGGACACCAAGCCACCAAACCTGCGACCCTGAACCAGATTGAACAATTAATTACATGTTTGCCGCACGACAAAGAACCGCCAGCAGCGATTCCAGGGATTATTCTGTTCACAAGATGATCCAAACCCCACAGATTTCGTGCGTGGTTTCTGCAATGGACTGCTAGCATTGGCAGTGATGCAGGCGAGGCTGGCAGAGAGCCTCCAGTCCATGAATGAGGTTGGGGGAATCAACATCGAAGATTCTTGGGCCTTTGTGTATGCGAGCAACCGGCTCTTCGATTGTGTGATGTCCCCCATGGCGAGATTGCTATTGCTCCGTCAAGCGGCATCCTTCAAGAATACCACTTGCTTCTTCGGGAGCTTTGATAACTCGGCCTGCGCGTTTGGCGGTGGGGCCTGGAAAGCATAGCGGAGGCTATAGGAGGGGTGGTCCATGAGGCCAAACACGCCTTTGCCCATGGTCACATGGTCATGGTTCAGACGTTCAAAGAGATATCTTCAAACTTCTCATGCGTGGCGTGGGTGCGATAGGCGAAAGGGTAGATCAGCATATCAGCATATCCATGTCCAATGTGGAGGCCAAGCAGCAATTTTCACTGTTGCCAATTGCCAACTCTCTCTCTCTCTCTCTATGACCATCCTGTGCCCCTACAATCAAGCATGTACTGCCTGATCTTGTTTTTCACAGTGACCTTCTGGGTATGAGCTTTGATAGCTGCTTGGCAACGCAAACGGAAAGCGGAAGCCCACACAATCCATGTAGGCAATATACACTAACATTCCTGACCCATTTGGAGTTGGCAAATCTGGGTCCATGGGTCAAAACCCCGTACCCCCAGTGAACATCCCAATCCAACCACTAAAATAGGATCCATTCACCTATCCCAAAATGGGATCCCAAAACGGTTTTGAACCATGGGATCCCATGTTTCGCATAGACATGGATTGCTTTTTGGAGCAAAATACGCCCAGCCTGCAGCGTTTTATTGTACACCTCCGGATCCATGGCACCGTTGATCAGCCGGCTCGTGACCTTTGGAGCCTGGCAAAAGGCCGCCTGAGGCGTGTCTCGTTTTTGAGGGTTGCTCTGCGTTGTCGCTCTTCAAAAAGTAGAGCCAACAGGACTTAAACCTGCGACCTCCCAACACACTTTAGGAGGTTGGGCGCGCTGCCATTGCGCCATGGCTCCTTCCAATCCCCAGGAGCGAATCTGGGCAAGTTGGACGCAAAAACCAGAGTTGACGGAGGAACTCCAAAACATCCCCAAAGTGACGAGAGCCCAACTTCCCGCGCTGAAGCCGCCTGGAAACAAAAAAAGCGGTAGTTATAGATACCCCTTGCAACCAACAAAGGGAAAATGACAACATTTTTTTAAGCAAATGGAAGCATGCTAGTGCACTGGCGCAGTCGCCAAGTGCTTTTTGGCCAAGAAAGCTTGGATCATCTGTTGGATGCGACCCTGTCAGCTTGATCAATGCCAGATTGAGCTGGCCTCCCTTGACATGTTGCAAATGCTCGACATGGAGGCACTCTAGCAACATCCTTCTTTTTACGGGTGCGGATTTGTTTTGGAACTTGTGTTCTTTCTTTCTTTCTTTCTTCCTTTCTTTTTGTTCTTTTTCTGTCGTGTGGGAAAGCAACACCCGTACCCCCCCATTTTTTCTTTGCTTTGGAAAAACCATTCACCAGTCACACCCCTTGGGCCATGAATGCTGCCGGAGGATTGAGATGGCCAACATTTCTTACAGTGGCTCAACTGTTGTCCTGTATGCCACATGGATCCTGGCATTCCTACTCATAGGCCAGTTGCCAGCCCCTCCAAACATCTCCAGACTCGTTTAGATTGCGCAATATTCTAGAGGCGACTCACTCTGGGAAGCACTTGTGATGCTAATGGCCAACGTGGGAACAATTAGGGAGAAGTGCACACAGTGTAGTCTTGCAACGGTTTGCGCTTTTCAATCCTGAACGTGCACGTCAATCATAGATAGACACAAGAAACATTCGCACGATTCATGCATTGTTAGTACGTGTAAACTAGAGACCCTTCTAGATGGTTGATTTCATGTCGGTTTCCTTCTCAAACTGACCCAAAATGGTCACTTCTGATAAAACCGATCGCTCACGGGTCTTTGTGTCGCCTCTTAATCCGGCGGAACCTGCCTTCGGCAGATCGCTGGCATCTTCCTGCCGAAACGAGCTGGGGAAGCTCATGGTTTGGTCGAACCGCGCACAACATGAGGTTGAGAGCACCGGAGACATTCCGCACTCAGACTCGGTATGTATTGTATGACCTGCCGAATTCACTTGACATTGACCTCCTCAACCTTTGGATTTGCTTCGCAAAAGTTGACCCGGTGCACCCCTCAGGCTTGCCATAATTGCAATGTCTTGGTCTGAACTGCCCGGAGCGCAAAACCCTTGCAGCCTAAGACAACAAAACACTGCACCCACACAAAAACTACAATTGACATCTCAAATCCAATGACTCAGCCTTGATTGTGAGTCAGCTGTCTCCGCTGCTTTTGTGATGGCTTACACCAACTGTCCCAAAAGAAAACATGGGGCTTGACGCGAACTGTATGAGGACCTGTCGGGCAAAACTCGCCAAAACACATGATGCTGATCCGCCGAGCTGCTCAACGACTTGCTATGAAGGATTGTGAAGGTATCAATATGAACAAACACATGGCTGTGGGTCAAAACTAAGTACCCCAAATGGAACCCTGGGAAGTGGAAACACGGACCAAAACCTGCAGTCCCCCAATTGTTGATTTTGATTCATACCCACATATTGCTGCCGTATCACGCTTGGGAGGCTCTATCAAAGGGAACATCAGCTCCGTGACAAGTACTCATCACGTGTCCCACTGGGAGGTGTTCTTCTTTCCTGGGCTGTTCATAATGGAGGGTTGGCGAATCCTGATCCGGAATCCTTTACTAGGGGCACCACTAGAATTGCTAAAACGGGACCCTTTGCTGACCCACAGGCTTGGGCATTGCCTTTGAAGAGTTTTCGTTGAGCCCTCCAAAGGCTGAGGATCCTTGTAGGTGACACTCGCCACTGTCGTGAGGTTGGGAGTGGAGCTGAAGCCACCTAGGAGGCAAGTCGGCAAGCAACATCACCCGTCCCTGCCTGAAGGAGCCAGACATTCCCCGGGTCCATTTTTGGCTGGGGATTACCTGGGTTGGCGATTTTTGAGTTGGCCCCTTTCCAGGATGGCTGAAAGGAAAAGTAAAAGGACCACCAACATCCAGTTGGGTCCCCCATTCAAACACATACCCATTGACCAGGTCTTCGTGAATCCAGGCCTGCCAATAATTCCGCCTGATTCACACATCAGGCGTCCAGAAGGAACCTTCAGCAGTATACAGCAGCGTTGAACTAGCAAGGTCGCTATGACTCTTGCAGGATGTATATTGACGCTGATACTGTCAATGATAAAATCATAATAGTAATCAACTCCCAGTGCAATCTGCTACCCACTCCACCTGGCAAGCGAGGACAACACAACATGATTATACCCCAAAAAACCTGACATGTTCTCCTGGGCATGGGACATTAGGTGAGCAAGATGATTGTAGTCCACGCTTCCAGAACCACCGCACAATGAAGAGCCATTGAACCAAGACTTCCTCACCCAAACTTCCTCTACCTACTGTGTATGGACGAAACTCTGCACCAGTTTGAAACCATGGGAAACCATTGCTTGTTTGTATTTGCAGGGGAATCATCATTCCAAGGTTTCTTGGCTGGTGCAGGATTTCGTCCATTCACAGTATTAGTGGCACACTAAATGCCTGTTGCTTGCTTGTCCAAGCCCTGCTTTTCCACACCATATCCGAGGCAGCAGCAGTTGAGAGAGCCATCAGGGCTGCAACAGGTCCCACCCATGCGCGGGGCCTCAAAGCACGGCGGTTGTTGCCTGCCGGGAATGCATGATATGAACCTTTCCAGTGTGTTACACACCTCCATTTGCTTAACCGCCTTGGAAAACATATTTCCAATAGTGAGAGACTCTTCTTCAAACCAACAGTGGGAAATAAACAATATTATTTTCAGCAAATGGAAGCAAAGGGCTCGGCTGTTTACTTGGTGCTGTCGTTCCACCCACATCGGGCCCTCCCAAACTGCACTTGCAATCCAGCATATCTTTGACATGCTGGCTATGGTGGCCCCAAACTGATCAAACTGAATGTTGAAGTAGCTAAAATAAGTCCAACATACTGTGATTTGAAATGATACACACCAACACAAAAAGTATATCCCTAAGACATATAGCTCGTGCAAATGAAGTTGCGGCCAAGTGCACCTTGTGTTGATCTTTGCCTGAAGTTTGACGCCGTAATCCCCCGTTGAACTCGCTCTCTAGTACCGATCTGCCGACTGTCACTTGATTTCCCTGCGGGTCGTTTGATGCTTCTTCATATGGGTGTGGGTCAAAAATAGGTGCCCCAATTTGAATACTGGTAAATGGAACAAGGACTAAGAATTGACTAAAACCTGCGGCCCCCTGGTGGTTTAATTTTGACCCATACCCATATCCCAAAAGGGCCCTCACTGTTCACCCAAGGCAGCGCCCGCCCAAGGCTCCAAGAAGTAAGGACTCACTTCAGAGTGCCATTCCCACACACACCAACATCATCAGCCCGCAAACCCTCAGAACAGAGTGGGTTTCAGGGGTTGACCCATCGCTACCGCTTGCAGCAGATTCACAAAACGCTCGGGCTTGTGGTCGCGCTCTGCTTTCTAAAGGGTTGTGAAGATGAAGAACAAAGGAGAGCAGATCTTATCACCGGGGCTGCAGCCAACTGCTCAGCCAGCTTTTGCCAAGCGAAGCAGCCGCACAGTGAATGTCGAGCTGCGATGTGGAGTGACCCCCGAATCGCCGGCCAATCGCGATCCCACAGGGTCCAATCGCGGAGCAACATTGGGCATCGCTGCTTATCTCAAGCGCTGGCCTTCCCGGAAACAAGAAGGAATCGACGCAGATCGGATGGGCACGGGCTCACTGGTGGAATTCGTCCAATCGCCGTCCAATCGCGGTCCAATCTCGGATTTCGTCGATAAAACTTCGGCTTGCAGCTTCCACTCCTTGCCAGCAAGCAGACTTGGAAAGAACTGCCTGGGCCTGCGGCCGGCGAAATCAACATTCAGGATTTCAGAGGGAACTTTTGCGTGAGCCCGCACAGTCAACATGAGCGAGACGTGTGTCGGAACGGCGATCTAAAATCCTTGGACCATGCAACGTCTAACTTCATCATGAATTCGTTGCCCTTTCGCCGGCCTTTCGCTGCTCGAGTTTACCAAGCGCGCAGTTCAACAAGTTGCCACTTTTTAGACATGCAATTACAGATGGCCCCCAAAGAACGTGACTGCCTTGTTTCCGGTCCATGACCTACCCACCTGCCACGCAGCAATGTGGACAACAACATTTCTGGCATAGAGCAGCACATCACTAGCATTCCAGGATGGGTACCATGAGCACATCGAATGCCATTCGGCTGAATCATTCATTCAGGGCCGTGCTTGATTCAACACTTGACGAGACACGTCGGCGAGCCACATCTACTTTGGGGCGCATGTTCCTTTTTGTAACAAATAATAAGTAGGTGCCACGAAATCGCCATTCTATGAGGAAATCTGAGCCATCCCTGGCGCAACCCCGCCACCTACACAGCTGTGCGCACATGGATTCCAAGCGTCCGGGCGCTTGAGCGGCACGGGGCTTTTGCAGGGCGGCACGAGGCTTTGGAAGGTACCCTTCTTGGTCACAAGACCGATGCTTGGATAGGGGGCTGTTGATTGGCAGGGCTCTGGAGACAAATCACACCATCCAGTTGGACCAGCCACCATGGTTTCAAAACGAAACTGGTACTTGGTAGGCTTGTACGAGGCTGTGGATCCATTCCTGGAGCACTGTCAGCAACCGGATTGATGGCGAGGAAGACCGGCATTCATCCCAGCTGAACCAAATGTTTCCGAAACCATCATATTCTAGCCAAACAAGCACTGAGAGTGATGTTCTGACACTCAGCACACGTTTGATGTGCGAAAAACATGGGGTGCTCTTCTTGCTCGTGTGTGTGACACTTCCATGCTACTCTTGGCTGCACCGATGAACTGCCTGCCCTGCGAGCCGGATCGACAGGGAGATGCGTCAAATCAGCAGGGTGCTTTTTGGTGAACATGCTGCAAATGTCCACCAATCGTCTTTGGGAACTTGAGAACTTGACTTCCAAACAGTCCAACTTGCATCACGCAGCACCAAATGCAATATGCCCTTTTGGGGGCACCCATGTCACCCGTGTGTCCCCAAAGAGTTAGGCCAACCTCCCGCGACAGGCTAAGCATGCTCGCAGAGAGGCCAAACCCAGTCAAACAAAATTAAAACAGACATGCCTTCGAAACACGAAATGTAAGAAGCACATTTTGCAATGGAGCTTTGATTCTCCAGAAAAAAAACTAAAAAACTTGTGATTTGGATTACATGGAAAACTCCACAACCACTGACTTGTGAAGCACCGTATGCCATGTATCGAACCAACTCGCCGCTCTGTTTTCGTCGCCCCGTTCTCGATTGCTCCGTCCTGCCGCGAACGGCTGCATGACTGGATAAGTGGCTCCCACTACCATGATAGGTGATCACTGCAAACCTGCTGCCTAGGTCACCAACACAAGTCACACATGGCGTCCAGTGCAATATTGATAAGTTTCAATCAAGTGCCCATGTTCATACTCTCAATTTGGCCCGCTAACTGTTGGGGTGGGTCAGCTTCGGCTGGCCCACTTCAGTGTGCAGTTCGCTTGGGGGCTGCCACACGTTCTCAACGTCGACACTCCACACGTTCTCAACGTCGACACACCTTACTTTACCCATAGTGTCTTTGTCCAGCGAAACATCGAGCTTTTCGCACTTTCTATGCCCGTTCAAACTGGCACCCGATGCCAGACCTGCGAAGGTCTTTTCATGGGGTCTTCGTTGAATCGGAATGCAGCCGACAAGGGTCCCCAATGTTCAGGACAAACCAAAATCAGGTGTCAGTATCGCAATTTGGGTCAACCTTTCTCATGTCCTCCGCTACAACTCACACAAACAACATTCACGCAACCCGCAAACGTGAATCACTTTTTGCGGGTCCAATTCGGAAAATCCGAGCTGCCTCAACCAAAGGAGTTCAGGTCCAAAAATCCAACTGGCCAACTAGCCAACACGCCAAGGCGTTCCAACAAGCCAAGGAGTTTTTTTTTTTTCCCCCGAAGTACTGGCAGCTGGGATTCGCTCCAAAAAGAATCCGCCAGTCACAAAGCCAAAGGCCACCATGGCCGATGGGCCCCCGCCGTGATGGGCCCTCTCCTGCGCCCAAAGGTCGCGGAAGACGAGCCAAAGGCTGAAGCCCTCGCAAGGCGACGTGGCGTGTCTGTGTGAGTTACCCCTTTTTTGGGGGTGGGTGGAAAGGAAAACCAAAAAGAACACCCAAAGGAAAACCACGGTTTATTGGGCTCCCCTATTTGGAGGCACACCCACATGATCAGTGCTTTAATTTGGTTGTGCGTCCCGTGGGTCCTTATCATTCTTAACTTGCTTACGGGGCGCCTACGCCACGCCTACGTGAAACGCAACGGTCCCGCAAAAACCGCTTGCGCGAGACAGAGCTGACTAGATACCTGCCTACGCCGCCTACGCGGCAACGAGGAGTTCGGCTACAGGATGAAATGGGGGTGAGCCACCCAGGGCCTCCAGTTGTTTTTTTGACAAAATGCCTACGTGGAGCCTAAGCGGAGCCTTCGCGGCGGTTACGCGAAATCCGCCTGCTTTGTTTGGAAATCCGGATTTGCTTTTACCCATAAGCACAACTGGTCTACTAGCATCAGCACCGCAGTACGAGTTTCCAGCTGCCCTGCCGGACAAGTGAACCTTCTCCTCCCTCCGCCAACAACCTCCAGCAACCTCTAGCTTGCACCATCCTGCTGCAAACAGCTTGCGAAAAACTACTACCCACAGCTTGCGCCAAACTGCCACTCACTCAAGGTCACACAATGTCTTGCATAACAACAATGCTCAACATGTCACGTGACAGTTCAAGCTCATAAACGGCCGCTTACGCGACTGCCTAGGCGAAGCTTCGCAACACGAGCCTCCGCGAAATGCCTTCGCACGCCTACCCGGATGTGGCCCTGCTATGCGACATGTAACAAATGTCGCTGCGAAGATGTGGGTCTTCATCCAGAAAAGAAAAGAAGAAAAAACAAACGCTGCTCCATGTTCCCGCGGCCCCTCCACAAGTCACAAAGCAGCTGCTATCTGGACCTTGCCGTGGTCCACAAAGAGGTCCACCCTCTCCGGTGTAAGACTTCCCCAAAAACATGTGATCTCAGCAGCACACCCAAGAATAAGCATCGTCTTCCAGCCAGCTTGCGGCTCAGTGCGTGTCTCTAATAGAAGGGACAAGAACCTTTCTTCATGTTCACGGCTCGCACAAGACTCTGCCTTCACCAATGGATTTGCCTGAGGCTGGTGCCGTCACTTCAACGGATAGTGATGGCTTTTGCCCGCATCCTCCTCTCCTCCACTATCCACCCTTCTCCCCCTGTCCAGAAGGGGGGTTGGCTTGCTTCACCTTTAGCGAAACCTGTGATACAGGGTATACCTTCAATCATTAGTATTCCCTTGTTCAGGACGTGAGCGATGCGTCATTTGCTTGGGATGCTCCCGTTTGTTTCTTGTTTTTTTCCCTGGTGGAACCACCTGCACAGGGTTCAGCACGATGATGTCGCTGTTCTGCAGCGGCCTGTGACGCGAATCAGACCCCAAAGCTGCTAGCAGTGGGGGAAAAGACTAGCAGGCAGACACTATACATCGTAGATCATGCGTAGTGCTACGTATATACATAGACACGTAAAAGCGCAACCTGTCTGTCTCACGGTCTGCCAGTCTGCCTGCCTGTCCGTCGGTCTGCTTCTATGTCTTACTGTTTTATGCATGCATAATGTATACATGTACGTGTGCATGCATGTATACGCACGTATGCATACACCACACATGTGTTCAGCGAGCTACGCAACAACCATGGAGCGCTTCAAGCGAATCAAAGGCCTCTCTTACGAGAAGCTTCTTGCACAAACTCCGAAGGACCAGGTTACTTCAGCATCAAAAGGGAGCAATCAAAGAACAAGGTAGTGTCGCGAAGGTGTTGTTCTATGAGCATAGCATGCTGCGACCCAACTTATGAAATACAAACTATGACTGCACGTCAACCCGCCAACCTGATGCCAAAGAGCAAAGTCTTGTGCTAGTTCTTCTAGCTTTCATTGGGTGTCTCACGCGTTCTTTATGTTACTATTACCAAACAATTGCAATCGTTCCGAAAGCTGGATTGAGAAACTCCAACAAACAAATCACAGATTCCATTCCGCTGATCATAGATGTGCCCCAAATCGCTGTGGACTGAAAGCCGTGCCCATTTGACATTCATGCAAACCGATGCTCGATGTGAACTAAATAGAGAAAAGCGGTCTGCTTTGTCTTGCTAGATTGTGCATTATTTTGCCCCCCTTTGATGTCTTTCCCAAAGCCTTCGAGCAATGTTCTGCCAGCGCAAGGGGGCGCTGGTGTTTTTCGGTTTGGTCGGGGTTGGCTGAGAGCAAGTTTAAACACGGGTAGGCTGACAAGGGTTCAAGACACCGGCGACGAAACCGAGAATCCAACAACACAGGAACTGCAACCGCAACATGTCAAAAATCAATAAGTCGAAGAACCAACGTCTCGAAGACGCAAAGAACCGAGCCAACCTGACCACCGAGTCAAGGGACCACAAAATCCAAGGCCCGAGGAACTGAAGAAGCGTCGGGGCGGACAGGTTCCCTCGCGGGCAAGGGCTTTCCCATAAACGTGCTTCCCAGATTCTCTGGAAGGCTTTCCGGGGGGGGCATAGCTTCAAATCAAGTAAGGCCCAAAGTCTAACGTCAGCTTCTCACTTCCTGAGTGAAGCCCAAACAAAGCCTGAATTTGATGTTTGCCACTAAAGAACGGGTCCAAACCCAAAAGGGCAAAGTCCAGGCTGAATTATAATAGTTCACCAGCCTGAAATAAGGCGGTTGGGGGGCTATTCCCCACATAAACCACCATTTGGGGTGAATTCGGTCGTGTGAGGTCGTTATAATTCCAGAGTCCATGACCCAGGACGTGCCGCCAAAAGCTGCCTGAGCTCCAGTGCACTGGCCTGCGCTCGCCCAGCGACAAGGGCACTGCGGCTTGGAAGTCCTCCGGCACCAAGGTCCTCACGGCGAGTAGACGTCCTTTTGGTACCATAACGCCACACTGTGGACGAAATCCCGCAGCAATAATGGCTCCCCTGTAAATACCAGGAAACAATGGTTTCCCATGCTCTCAAAGTTGCACCACCTAAGAAACCCTGGAATGATGATTCCCCTGTAAACACCAAGGAATAATGGTTTCAACCATGGTTTCAAAGTGGTGCAGGGTTTCGTCCATCCACAGTAGGTGTCCTGTTTTCCACGGCATTACCAGGGTAACCTTTTAGGTGTCCTTTAGGTTTCCCTGGAAAATGGAATACCCATCTAAACCAGTTGAAATCCCGTCTATTTCTACCCAAGCCAACCGATCAAAAGGACACCTATGAAGCCAAGCGCAGGGACGCCATTTCGAGTGCCGGATGCGCCCTGTCGGCCAAAGGATCTTGAAAGTGTGGTAAAATGAGCTACGAATCAATGGGCCTGTGGTTCTCTTAGGTGCTTGGTTCCAAGGACCATTTCAGGAAGGAACGATTCAAGGGAAGCTTCGGAGGTACGAGTACTCACTCTGCCGTCATGGCCACATTGCTCTCTGGCTTTGTGAGCTCTCCTGCAGATCCGTATGGGATTTGAGGTGCTCAGGTTCCGCACGTGGAACATGGCCTTGGGGAAGCGTCGGATACAACACTGCAACCGACCTTCTTCATTGGACAAGCTTGGGGACTCTTCTCCACCTGTTCATTTAATTTGTCGGAACAGCTCCGGAGTTGTACCAATCTGTGCTACCCTTAAGCCCAACATCATGGCTGAGAAAAAATAAACAGCGGCTTGGCTACAGTCTTGGCATACCCAGCCAAAAGCGCGAGGTTCACGGGACCCTTCACTACTTTCGCAGCGCTGAGTGAGCGGCGCTTTTGGCAGACACTGTGAACTCCTCTCCCACCTAAGTCGAGGGTGGCTATACAGTAGCTGCCCTCAATATTGCAAGGCGGGGAACAAGGGGACTCCCTAATTTACAGTAGTTTACCATGGTTTGGGTTCTGGTTGGTTTACCCCGGTTGGTTACCAGTTGATTTGCTTGCAAAATTCAGGTCATCTGCGGCATCCACCGTCCCCATTGAAGCCCTGCACATATTTTTGGGTTGCTTCTGTTTCCCTCTGACCAGTCAACAGGAGGACCTCGACTTCGGAATCGCACGGCACCTGGGCGCTGGGAACAGTTTGCGGGTTCTGCAATGAACCGGTTTACCAACAACAGCCAACGACATGAAGTCACACAGGAGATGGCGTTTGCAGGCTGGCTGTATCAGTAGTCTTTCTCTATGTTGGCTACTTACACGATCGGGCATGGAGAGTCTACACTGTGGCCCAGAATATGGAGAGCAATGTGGAACAACAAGAACATCGATTCTTACTCGACGCATGGATGCACATAAGCCCGCACTTCCGTTCGAAACACATGGCACAATGAGGCAGAACACATCCGTTCTCCTGATATAATTGCTCTGCTTGAACGTTTGCAAAGGCTGGACGTTTTAACTCGTTGGGTATGCCTTTTTTCGGGGAGCCCCGTTTTGCTTGGATTTTACGGGGAAACCGCGGGGAAAACGGTCTTCTTCTTCTTCTTCTTCTATTGTTTTGCTTTGGGGGGGCCTCCCCTCAAAACGGACAGGTTCAATTCTCCGCTGCCGAAGGCCTGAAGCTGACTCCCTGAAGGCCAGGCCTCGATCTGCAGATGCTGCCGCGACAGCGCGTAGAAGGCATCCGGGCACAGCACTCGCCTCAGCTCCCAGCTGGCGGAGGGGGGGCCTGGGGATGGGGGCGGAGGGGGGGGGGTGGGGACGGGACCCTCCACCCAGGCCCGTGCGCGCAGAATCCAAGTATGCCCTGGCTGAAGAGAAGTCACCTTACTCTCTGATGACTCACACTGACCACCCTTTCTGCAGCAGCAGCCAACTGCTTTGATAGTTGCAGGCGGGCAAACACCGGCAAACAACAGTGTACATCTCCTTCACTGAGGCCCACCACAGGCCAGGACTCCAAAAGCGGCTCCAGTTTCCGGCTCCTAGACCGCCCTTTCCAGAGAAAAGCGGACCCTGCCACCCTACCGCACCCCACCCCACCCCACCCCACCCCACCGCACCGCACCGCAGCGCACCGCACCGCACCCCACCCACCCACCCGCCACCCACTCCACCCACCCCCGTCCCCTCACCGTCGGGCGGCTGCCAAAAGCTCCGCTGCTGGGATCGGCCCAGCAGCAGCGGCAGGCAGCTGCCCAGAGCTCCGGGCCGGCCCTCGCCCGAGACATCCCGAGACCCACGGCTCGTCTTGAAGGACTTGGATGCTTGGATCTCCAAAATGGCGAGCATCGGTCTTCCCTCTGGGAATCACGTCAAAACCCAACGGAAAAGGAAGAACACGGAAGATGAGCAACATGATGTGTTTTCATTCTTGGCTGTCCGGTGTTGTATAGCTTTGCTACAAGCCGGCATTCAGTGTTGCTTTAGCCTCTGGTTTGACAGCACCTCAAGGTTTGCACCATTCTCCAATGGTCTTTGCACCACCAGCTCGTGCTTTCCAACAGCTGGCTTCCAAAGCAACAAGCTTCATTTGGCCCTCAGGTAAGCAAATCCAGAATCTGCGAAGGACACATAGGAATGCCAGTCTGCAGTGCGCACAGGCTGCGACGTCGTTCCCCGGCCCATTTGGTCGAAAAACCGAGGCCAAGAAAGTCAGGGCTATGCCTGAACCTGGGCAGCCCCGCACTGAGGGAACCAGAATTAATGACACTAAGCGGATGTCTTCAGCTTGTTTGAGCTTTGGGTCCCACATCTGGAGGCCCCAAATATCTAGTGCTACCTTTCCCATTCTTTTGCCAGGGATCCTTCTAGAAAGCTTCCGGAAACCCATGGAAACGGCTTCGGTTTTCGAAAAGAACGATGGTTGGAAAGAATGAACAAGGAATCAACCCTTAGAAAAGATGCGGACCCATCCCGCAAAGTGAACAAAACACCCGAGCCTCCGCCTTCGCTGCCGGGCCATGGACGATCCGCAGCTCCTGAAGTCCGAAAATCCGCATCCATTTTTCAGCTGAGTTGACCTCTCAAGACGGCACGTCACTCGGTAAGTTGCTTTAATCAGAGGCTAAATATGATACTAAACTGAGCTACCCTCAGATCCCCCGCTACAAAGTTTAACTTTTAGTGGGTTAAATGGAAACTACCACTAAACACTAAAAAGCTAAAAGGCTAAGGGGATGGTTGGGAGCCACCAAGGAAACAATGATAATGGGGTTTGGGGGACCTTAAAAAACTAAACTAGGAACATGTTGGTGACTATTTAGCCCCTTACACTTACACTGAGCCTGGTTATAGCCTATTTGTTTCTGCCAAATGGGAACGTACCACTGATCTGGGATAGGCAACCCCTTCTGTTGAGAGGCTCCATAGCTCCATGGACTGCTAGCTGAGGCTTCATTTGGGCGGAATATAAGGCGGAAACTGCCTTTGAAGCCCGACCTAAGACCTCAGATGGCTCTAGAAAAGGGCAGGAACTGGTGATACATGACCTTGGCCAGCCGACGGCCCAACTAGCGCACGGCTATATTTAGATGTATCACCTGGGAACCGTTGGGTCCTGAAGTCCGATAGAACCAACGCTGATGGAAACATCCTTGACCCAAGCCCCGTTGCGAAACCTTGCGGCAAAACATGGCTGGCATCATGATTTTGACCACCCCCGCCCGAATTAGGGTTCTCATACGGACCACTCATGCAGCCGAATTTGAACTGGGAACCGAAAACCGGCATTTGAGCAAACAAACCAGCTGTGCCATGATCAAACGCCCCAGGTGGTCACGGCTCGCTTTTGCAATCACCAGACCTCAGTTCATGTTCATCATATGTGTGATGACAAGCCCAGCCCCGCAAAAGACGTTGGAACCCTAAAATCAATGCGAGGCACACATGTTGGAACATAGCATCTTCCATGGCTGTACAAGTGCGGGACCTCATTTTGGAACGCCTTCACAAGGCCAGGAACATCCCAAAGGGCCATTCCAGTCGCCCCCCCCTCCACGCGGCCATTCCGGCCCAGTGCTTCCTCCTTGCGCAGATCGGTCCGCAAACCCTGGCCCCCCAGCTCGAGGGCCATCAGCGGCCTCCGCACCAAAGCACTTCCAAACCCGTCGTCCACGCGGTTTTTCAGCGAACCGTAAAGCAGAATGGGCATGGGTCAAAGTTAAACCAGGACATGGACTGCAGGTTTTAGGTCCTTGTTTTCATTCACAAGGGTTCCATATTGGGTACCTATTCTTGACCCACACCCAAACGGCAGCTTGAGCTTCGTCACACAGCTTGCGGACCAACTCAATTGTCGTTTGGGAGCAACGCCCGCTTGGGGATGTCCAGATTCGGAAGTGCGAGTGCTGCAGCTGACTGTACAAGTACCAGGACTGTGCTGTAACTTACCATACTGTGGATGGACAAAATCCATTTCGCACCCTGGAATGGTGATTCCCCTGCAAATACCAACCAACCATGGTTTGTCATGGTTTCCAAGTTGTGCAGGATTTCGTCCATCCACAGTAGTTCGTGTGTGGTCAGCGACTTGCTCATTTGCAACATCTGTCGTGCAATACTGGGACGACTATCTGGTAACATCCAAGATGAAGCCCATGCCAGAATGAAACATTGCAAGGACTGAGCACGACCACACATGCACAGAGTTCATTGGGAAGTGCGACAAGGATGTCGTGGCAAAAGGATGGGTCTATTTACGCAGGGCAGCGACAAGTATCATCAAGATATCACTTGCCATAGTCTCAAGAAACCCCAACATGTAAAGGACAAACACCCAGTGTGCCGGGCTGCAAAGGCTTCCATCCACAAAATCCCCATGCCAGTTGTGGTTGATTGCTTCTGGCTATCCCTGGATAAACCAAAGCCCTCCTGACATGTTTGACCACCATGGGCCTCGCTTGAGTCTGAATTTTGATTCAGGACCCTTTGGTGGAAATCATTTGGGGATTCATGTCCACCAACCACTTTCGCGACCGGCAAAGTTCGGATCGCCAGTTTGGCACCTTCCATCTGGCTGTGGGTCAAAACTATGTACCCAAAATGGCTTGCCCTGGTAAGTGGAAACATGGACCAAAACCTGCGGTCCATTTCCTGGTTTCATTTTGGCACCTTCCCATCTGTTCTCTCTGCAGGCTGGGCCCCACGACAGCATCTCCGCGCCCAGGAAGGTCACGCCCTCCGTGCCAAGCCTTGCCACTTCGATCGCTGTGCGGCGATGCGAACGCCTCCCTTGGAAGAATGAAACATTCTAGGGGTAACTTCCATTTTCATTCTGTCCAGGGATCCGGATCTTTCTAGAAAACCACTAAAAAAACCCTGGGGAAAAGGCTGGTTGTTGAAAAGAACGATGGCTGAAAAGAATGGGGAATCAACCCCTAAATACATACACATACAGGAGTCATGTCGCACTATGCAGGCAATCATCTCATATTTTATCCACCCGGCAAGTGGAACCCGCCATTGCGTTGCTCAAATAATGACACGCCGCCCGCGCTGAGGTGGGCTACAAGCGAGTGAAAGAACTTGCCCAGGCAACGTGACTCTGCCTTTTCATTGCATTGCAGCGACACAGCCAAAGCACCTGCGAGCACAAGTGACTGAGTCTCTTGTCTTCAACCCCCCAGCTGAGCTTGGGGTCAAGAACCAGGTGCGGCAATGGAAACAACGCGAAGAGCCAGGTTAAATTAAGCACAGGCTAATCTCTTCTCCAAATAAGAAAGGCCTCCCGAATATTTAAATAATAAGCACATGGTTTTCCAAACCCCCGGCAGCCCCAATACTAAATTACAAGCCCAAATTGAAACCAATACTTTACTTCCACCCACTGACCTCTTCCAGTCTTATTGGGGGAACCCCTGCCATCAGCCAACAAGCAGTACTTGTTGACAAAAACTGGTTGATGCCTCCCTTCTAACTCTCTACTACGAAACAAGCCTCCGTTAACTTTCTGGGGTACGGAAAGGGGGAAGTACTTTGCGAACCTTAGGGGGTAGGGATTACCTTGCAAGCTCAGTTCCTCTGCATCAAACACCTACCATCCCTCACCTTGGACAAGCTGAACAGAACTCGGCTGCCCTCAGATCCCCTGCTAAAAGTTTGACGGTTAGTGTGGAAACTACCACTAAACCAACTAAAAGCCTAAAAGGCTAAGGAACCGGACGCCTGGGGGCCACCAAAAAAAAGAGAGCGGTGAACCAAACTCCGCACGCCCCAAACTGCCTTCACCCCCCCCCCGAACGCCCCAAATCCCAAGCTTGAGGCCCTCGCTGTGGGTTTGGTGCCACATGCGCAAGAAGTCCGCTCCTGGCTTTGCTCGAATTTTGGTGAGCTCCGGGCGCCTAACGCATCAGACACTTGGGGCTGACCTTCTTGTTTGAGGGTACCCCTCTTTTACGGACTTTTGGAAACCAAAAGGAAAAAACAATTTGTTCAACTTGGTTGTTTGTTGAGTTTGGGGGACTGCCCTAAAGACAGAACCCCGCCCAGTTTATCAGTGCTTTCTTGGGGGGGGCGCCCTCCTCCTCATGCCCTGAATTCCGGAAAAGCAGCTAGCTTCCGGAAAAGATGTCTAAATCGCTCCTAGCTTTCACCCGTCACTCTTCACAAACTACCCTTTTACCCGGAGTTTTGCATATTTCTAGGGGTTGATTCCCCATTCTTTTTAACCATCGTTCTTTTCAAACACCAGCTATTTTCCCTGGGTCTCCGGCGGTTTTCTGGAAAGATCCGGATCCCTGGACAGAATGGAATTGGAAGGTACCCCTAGAATATTCACCAAAACAAAGAGACTCCATGTTCAGAAACCACCCTTTTCACAAACCACCCTTTTCCCCCAAGTTGTGCATATTTGCCAAAACAAAGAGGAAACAAAAACCACACACACACACACACACACAGAAGAGACTCCATCTCCGTGGAGCTGCCAGGCCACGGCTCTCCTGGATGATCCCTGTCGCTCAAAGGCGCCGACCTTAGGTCAAGTGGACTCATACGACGGAGTTGTGAAGCCGAGTGGGGATGAAGCACGATGTGTGATGTGTCCGACAAAGCGTGCGATGTATCCAAAACGCGATCCAGATCTACCCCAAAGGATGGTCGCGTTGTGAAGCTTTCCAGGCACCTCGCAAGCGAAACATTACGGTTCAAATTATGGGGAGTCCTCACCGAGTTGCGTTGCCCACGTCGTCCTGCTTTTTGGGGTGAAAGCGCCGTCCTATGGTCGAAATGCTTTTTTTTCAGGACATGCGGACGCAATTGTACAAGCCTGTATTCAACTGTTGGGAGCACTAGTTTCCTTTCAAGAAACGTGGTGTGCACTCTGCACGCATGAAACTGAACTGCATCACGTTGCCTGACATAAAGGACGGTGATCGGGGATCCGCTAAACTTGTTTGTTATCAATCCAACACCATGTCTCAGCATGTAGCAGCCTGAGTTGGCGCTTTCTGGCGCTGTGCAGCTCCTGCGAGGTTGTTGCTTCTGACAAACCCGGCGATTTAAATCGAGGGTTTGCCAATCCGAAATCGCTACGAAGGCCAGCCTTTTCCTCAGCCAAGGGAAAGATTCATAATCTTTGAAGACCCTGGTAAATATATTGTGATCTCTCAAGACGGCATAACCTTATGACAAGAAACCGCAAGAGGGACAGCAAACCATGGGTATGTCTTTCTTCAGTCCGTTGGGCAGTTCGGGAAGGCAAAAGGCCGCCTGTCACTAACCATTAGAAGGGCCCGTGAGCCATGGTCAAAACTCCGATCGTATGTCCATATAGTGGGCTGTCCTCAGATCCCCCGCTACAAGTCTAACTCTTGGTGGGTTAAATGGAAGTCCCCACTCAACACTAAGATGCTAAAAAAAAATGCTCAGGGCCAAGGGCCGGGAACCACCAAAATATAAGAATCATGGTAGCTGTCATTCAGGATCTCTTCCTCTCAGGACGACCATCCCTAAGGGACCTTTTTCTTTGAACCACCGGCGGTGACTCCGGGCTGGGCCGCGGGCTCTATCCAGGGGCACCGCCTGCGCATGGCGTGAGCAGCCCCCAAAACCCCATGCCACTTCGATGACTGCCTCACTGTGCCACACCGCTGCTTTGAATATTTTTTGACACACGCCAGCAAGTGGACTCAAACAACACTTCAGAAGAGTAGAAATGCACTTGGTTTTGAAAAGAACATAGCTACGACCAACAGTCATTGGTTCTGATCTTCACTCAAGATCACCCAAGCACGTCTGCCGAACTCCCCGTTCCGCCTGCCGCGGTGTGGGCGGCGCGGGCTCGGCCATCTCTGAAGGCAACTGGCGGACCGTGAGCGATCCGGGAGTGGATAAACTCACTCCATATGGCTATGAGTTTCAATACGGAACCGATTCAAAAGCGGAATGTGGACATCAATCCCCACCAAAATGGGGTTTCAAGCATTTCGGGGCCCCTATCAAGATTCAGACCTATGCAGCCAAAGCATCAAGGGAAACAAATGAGTCTTGAAGTCTTGGTTGCTGCTTGAGGTTTGTTGATGGTAGCGAGACAGCATGTGGAGAACCAGCATATCAAGGCAAGCCAGCGCTCATAATACTTTGTGGTGCTGGCCGCTAATTTGCACCTGGAGCTTGCATTCCAGTCCAACAACGGATGCTTTACAAGGACGCAATCAATAGATAGGATGTGTTGGGGTTGAAAAAGGTCAAGCTTTTTGGAAGACACCCGAAAATCGACAACACAAAAAAGCAACGTTGAATCGCTGCATCACTGTTGACGGGACTTTGCCACTTGTTCAATCCTCACTCAACAAAATATCAACAACCATGCATTTTCACCTGATGCCTAAAACCAAACATTGTGCGCTGCATCTCTTTTCCCTTCATTTCCTTGCTGTTCCATCTCCAGATGAAGAACAGTGGAAATAGAATGGCAAAGATATGGCATGAAGTATCTTGAACCTCACAACGGTTTAACGCGGCACTGCAAAACTGCGTCGCTTTGGGCCGCCGGGCCGAGGCGAGAGTCGGCGCATTGGTGCGGTGCGCCAAGTGCCGGGCCGGCAGCAGCCAGGCACCCAACTCCTGCGTTGCGCTTCGCAACCAGAGACAACCAGAGAGGTCAGTCGGCCAGCAGCTTGAGACAACACATATCAAACAGACGCGCTGCGAAATGTGAGTTTGTTTGAATGGGAGAGGTCAGTTGGCCAGCTTGGGAAATGACCGCCGAAGAGAATATAAACCGTTGTCCCGAACAGACCCGGGACAAAGAACGAAAGCCCTTCAGCAAGCTGATTCAAAACCCAGTGTCTATGAACCGAACTTCAAGTTCTGGTGGATTATAAACAGAACGATTGTCTCGATGAGAAAAGAGCTGCACAACATTAACTTAGTTGACACAGGGATAACACGCAGATCATTGCAGGGAGCTGGCGTGCTCAGAAAGACTGGGTGTTTAGGTCTTGAACAATGTCTTTGAGTTCTGCTCGTGGCTTGACATCAACAGCAAGACCACCGGTTGCATAGGCCTAACGAGATGGTACATTCGCTTGAAGAGTTGTGGGCATTGGCAATCTGTATCTTGGAAAGCGACACACATCCGTACGCTGAGCCAGGGAAGATGCGGGGTCAACATTCCGCCTTCGGCCTGAGGCCTTTTGACATTCAACTGGATATATCACAGGCTAGATTTATTTATCAATGTAGAATTTGAACTACTCGAAGTTCAACAGTTGACCTGGAGGTTCAAACTCGGGCTAAAACACCGTCCACTCACAGCATGCTTGTATCTACCACAAGACGCAAGACACTTGAAAGTTCGAAACACTAGCAGCAGCGCCAGCCATTCCAGTCTATCTCCGCGACTTTCTCTCTCTCCCTCACGTCCTTCAGAATGGACCCGGTGAGGTCGAATCGAAACCTGTGTGGCCGCCCGGACACGAAGAGGGTAGTTGAACGCAGGGTCATGCTATGGAATTGAACATACAAAACGCAAACTGACCATCAATGTGTGTCCCCAGTCGACACCGCTCCACGATTGTATGCCAGAACACACTTCTACCTTGCCTACCCGAACCGCACTGCATCATGTTGCATATGGCTCTAAAGGATCCGCCAGAAGAAACGATTGAACTGCATACTAGGAATGTCTCCGATCTACTCAATGACGTGCTGCGCAAAACGAAACAGCAGCCGCTTCCCAAACAACGCAGATCCAATGCGCACGTGTGGATCTGCCTTCCTTCACAACCAGGATGAATTGAATGGGCTTCCAGCTTCAAAACCAACATAATATAGAAAACTGTGTGGCAGCGCGCCATTGTCCGTTGCATGCACGCACACAAGAATACATTACATATCCTGAATATTTTGCCCCAGCTGCCCCCTTGTCTTGGGCTGTTTCTGGCCTCAACGTTCCACAGAACCATCGCAAAAGAAATACACCTCATGGTGCTCTCCGATGGCCTGTAAACCCTGAAGTGGACCGGAGTAAATACTGTGGATGGACAAGATCCTGGACCACCTAAGCGCTGGAATGATTCGATTCCCACATAAATACCAACAAGCAGTGGTTTCAACCATGGTTTCCAAGTGGTGTAGAATTTCGTCATTTCCTCCATCCACAGTATGGATCCCGGAAGTTTAGCCCTCAAGAAATCGCAGAACCCGTATCTGCGGATCCCCTTTCGAGACTTGCAATGCCAAATGCCGCCGGAAGGAACATGGCCACGGGTCAAAATCCAAATCGTACCCCCAGTGAACATCCGATTCAATCCAACCACTAAAATAGGGAATCTAAAATGGGTGGTGAATTCACCTGGCAACCAAAATGGGATCCCAAAACGGTTTTGAGCCACAGCCACATCCCCATGGATCCCATGCCCGGGTCATTCTCCCCGACTGCGCCAAGTTGCTCCGCCAAGGGCTCCATGCCCCGTCGCAGCACCACACGGTCCCCGTCTTTGAGGGGCACCTGGCGCGGGAGAGTTCGAGGAAGCGATCTCGGTTGCTTTCTGCTCTGCTACAAGTGACGAACTTTTCGTGGCTTAATACGGAAAACCCAGGAGTTGGCAAAAACTGAAAGTCCGAACATCCAAGCACAATGCACCAAAGTGATGCTTTAGCCTACCAGAAGCCACAAACACTACCTGGATGTGGGTCAAACATAGGCACCTGGAGCTCTGGCAAATGAAAACAAGGACTTAAACCTGCGGTCCCCTGGTGCCATACGCGTTACAAACACTGCTCGCAACATGTGGACCATTTTGAGAGAAATCGAGTAGATGCTTCCCTCGTGATGCTTTAAACGTTGTTAGCTCTAAACACAGCTCCAAACAAATTGCAAGTTACAATCATATCCAAACTGACATCTTGAGGTTGTGTTGTGGGCTCTGAGACTTAATTATACGATTTTGTCCAGGGTCCCTTTGGAGCCAGCCCATAAACAGGACTGGGAGACAAACATGCAATACACATGTTTTTTTTGTTGAAGGAACAAATACAACTATATGGAGTCCCACACGGCGCATAGCGAACCAACATGCCCACTGGCATCCACTGGCCTTTCCTTCTATGTTCCATTCTCGTCTCAGTATCTGAACATGGCATGCATGCTGCTGTATATATGTCGTACATTTGTCTATATTATGTCTATGCATGCTTAGATACATGCATAGTCCTCAGCTGTTTCCAGCATTTGTGGACAGTCATCGTTTCTCCCAATTAAGTCTACCAAGGGATGTGGCCTCCGCAAACGCATTTTGACTCCGAAGTAGCGCAGAATGCTGACATGTCCTACGGCACTTTCTCCAAAGCCTTGCCGAACAAACCCATCAACCTCCACAAGACATGCATCTTGACTGACAGACAGTTCAAATATGCATGATTAGGATCCTGCTACACTGGTACATCAAGCTGCTCGACAGCTCAAAATCACGGCGAATATCTTTCTTGCAATCATCCGCAGTCTCACAAACACCACACCATTGTCTCACGCAACTACAAGCACTCAGGTTATGAACACATTCCTTTTTTTCCCATCTCAACATCAACTAATATCTGGTGGTGGGAAAAGCGCCATCTTTTCATTTGCAGGGGGGTGGGTTGGGAAAAAATGGGAAGCTTCCGGCATCTGGGTGCCGCCTTCCGCAAGAAAACCCTCCGCGTCGCCTGCTCACCGCCAATGGACAGCAGTTGGTTGTTCACCATGGTGCCGTTGGAGCTGAAGTTCCTGGAGCCCGCGTTAAAAATATGTGGGGCCACAGGACACCCCTGGGGCTTCCAGTCCCTACGGTTGCCTTTAAGGGAATCCCTACATTCTTTTTGGGTCCAAACTGGGCAACCAGGAAAAAGGAGGAGTATTTTGCAGGGAAAACCCGGTGTTCATCCACAAATGGCCTAAAAACACAAAAGGGGAATTTGGAGGGAATGACCCCTATAAATCCATTGCTTCTTCCAGCTGTATGTCCTTTGATCTTCAACATGTGCAACGCATGTCGTCACTTGGTTCCTAGCTGTGCTAAGACTTTTGCGATACATTCTCGTAACATGGGGATGATGTCAAGTTCAATATGGCGCTGATCTCAATTTTCATGAAGGAGAGAATGTTCCGTAGGTAAAGTCAAACACCACCAAGCAACGCCAGTGGGTCTATGGCAGCAAACTGTACTTTGCTCAGACTCATACCAACTCCACTTGCTCTTCACATAATATGGCTCTCTTGCTTGCTGCTAAGACCAAGAGCAAACAAGCAGTAGCATCGTCCATGCCTTGAGAATGCTTACTGCTGATGAAGCAACCCCAAATATTCGGATTCGGTGAGAGTTGGCGAAATCAAGGGAATCTTTTGAAGGCGGCAAACGACAGTACGCCAGAAACCAAACACCACGGGGCCTCGCGAACCCCATTCATGTCACGACGAACCTCTGGGCTGCCGGCGTCAGGAAGAAGGAACACGTAGAGCGGCAGCTCTGATCTGGGCACGTTAAAATGAAAGGATTGGAGTGTTCGGTTTGCCAGCCGAAGCGAGCAACATAAACATCGAAGGATCACTTTGCAAACCACCGCTTTGGAACAGGTCAAACACAATCAAGCAGTCCCTGCCAAGCTGGAGGAAGATACTGTCACTTTTACACGCAAAGTGTGTGGTGTACACAGCACATGGTGAAGCAATGACTCCTTTGCACAAAAAAAGGTGTTGCAACAACGAAACACCGTGATTGCAGTTGCACATCTACTTCAGCCCACACGTCTACCATGCTTTTACGTTCACGTGTCAACGAGTCTTGGAGGTTGAGAATCTAAACAGGCCACTGAATAGCACAGGTCACTCAAACGCTGTGCAAGCCGGACATGCACACATCGGGAAAAGCGCTCAAAACTGCTGAAAAGGCATCCTGTTAGATATCGGGCGCATGAACTTGGTGCGCGCCTTGACCAGTTCAGAAACGGGTCACTGAGGCCGATGCAAGCATCTGCATCGCCATCTCCCTGAGCTCGTTGGCAAGTGACGGCCGCTCCAGGCGAACACTCAAGGGCGTTTCAAATCAATCCATCTGCTGTCCCCCCTCACTTCCTGAGCAGATGGCCCAAAAAAAGTAACCACACTTTTTGCTTACCAACCAAAATGGTCTCTCAAACAAGTTTAAAGTGCAAGAACTCAGGGAGGGAGCCCCCCACTATGAAAGAAGGTCTGGCACACACTGCAGTCATTATTGTCCGGCAGGGTATCTCGCCAGTTAGATTCGTTCCTTAGCATTCACAAAGATGATGGCCGTGCGCAGCGCGGCAATGATTTCTTGAATGTTTGTTCGCCTATTCTGGCAAATGCCTCATAAACTCCCGTTTACTTACAAAGGGAATTGCGTCATCTTTGACCCTGGTGTAGCTGGAGTTCGGGTCAATCAACCTTGGGATTAGATATTAGGGGGCTCCAAGAGGATGGACGGAAGGACACCGACCCCTTGGACAAATGGCGCCCCAAGAGCAATAATACCCTAGACGAAAACATATATCCCATATGTAAGTAAATGTAAACATTTGGCCACAAACAAGGAAATCGATGCGTAGGTGCCCACGTACCCAACACTGCCCCGAAGCGGAAAGAAGGGTGCTTACGTTTAAAGGCTGAAAGGAGTTCCCTAGTAATTAACACACAAAAGGCCATATAGGGGGACCTCAGAAACTATGGCGTTTCTTTTGCGTTCCCTTTAAACCAAGCTGAAAAGGGTAGTTACCCTCAAAAAGCAAAGGCCCATTTGCTTCAGCCAAACCTGGAACTTGGTGAACCTTGACCTTTCCAGACAAGTCGTCAAGAGGGGATCCCAATGTGCCCCTTCCTTTTTCAAACTTCTTGGCGGCTTTCAGCAGGAGCTTACAAAACAGCCAGCAAGGCGAGGCGAGATCACATTGGTTGTCTGGCTTATCCTTGTGAGTATTGTCTTCCAGCAAGCATTGCAACCGCCATGGTGGCCCTGCTTTGCAGCAACCACTTTGACGATGTGCCATCACCGTCTGCCATGTCATTGTCAGCGCCGGCTTCAAGCATTGCTCGAAGCCGTGTTTTTGTCAGCCTTGTCAGCGTCCAAGAGAGAGGCTCGGCGCTGCGCGCGGAAAACGTGCGAACCCCGCAGAGCGGAAAAAAAACAACCAAATGTGCGGAAAAACAAAGCACAGTCTCTGCGGAAAAAGCGGACCCCTCCTGAAAGGGGGCCGTGATGAAGGTTGTCTTGGGGATCCGCTTTTCGAGCTGGAATCCGGCATTCCAGCTCGAAAAGCGGATCCCCGGCCAATCCCTCCTGAAAAGGGGGCCGTGATGAAGGTTGTCTTGGGGATCCGCTTTTCGAGCTGGAATCCGGCATTCCAGCTCGAAAAGCGGATCCCCGGCCAATCCCTCCTGAAAAGGGGGCCGTGATGAAGGTTGTCTTGGGGATCCGCTTTTCGAGCTGGAATCCGGCATTCCAGCTCGAAAAGCGGATCCCCGGCCAATCCCTCCTGAAAAGGGGGCCGTGATGAAGGTTGTCTTGGGGATCCGCTTTTCGAGCTGGAATCCGGCATTCCAGCTCGAAAAGCGGATCCCCGGCCAATCCCTCCTGAAAAGGAAGGTTGTCTTGGGGATCCGCTTTTCGAGCTGGAATCCGGCATTCCAGCTCGAAAAGCGGATCCCCGGCCAATCCCTCCTGAAAAGGGGGCCGTGATGAAGGTTGTCTTGGGGATCCGCTTTTCGAGCTGGAATCCGGCATTCCAGCTCGAAAAGCGGATCCCCGGCCGGTCCCTCCTGAAAAGGGCCGTGATGAAGGTTGTCTTGGGGATCCGCTTTTCGAGCTGGAATCCGGCATTCCAGCTCGAAAAGCGGATCCCTCCTGAAAGGGGGCCGTGATGAAGGTTGTCTTGGGGATCCGCTTTTCGAGCTGGAATCCGGCAATCCAGCTCGAAAAGCGGATCCCCAGCCAATCCCTCCTGAAATAAGGGGGCCGTGATGAAGGTTGTGTTGGGGATCCGCTTTTCGAGCTGGAATCCGGCATTCCAGCTCGAAAAGCGGATCCCCAGCCAATCCCTCCTGAAAGGGGGCCGTGATGAAGGTTGTCTTTGGATCCGCTTTTCGAGCTGGAATCCGGCATTCCAGCTCGAAAAGCGGATCCCCGGCCAAGCCCTCCTGAAAGGGGGCCGTGATGAAGGTTGTCTTGGGGATCCGCTTTTCGAGCTGGAATCCGGCATTCCCAGCTCGAAAAGCGGATCCCGGCCAATCCCTCCTGAAAGGGGGCCGTGATGAAGGTTGTCTTGGGGATCCGCTTTTCGAGCTGGAATCCGGCATTCCAGCTCGAAAAGCGAATCCCCAGCCAATCCCTCCTGAAAAGGGGGCCGTGATGAAGGTTGTCTTGGGGATCCGCTTTTCGAGCTGGAATCCGGCATTCCAGCTCGAAAAGCGGATCCCCGGCCAATCCCTCCTGAAAGGGGGCCGTGATGAAGGTTGTCTTGGGGATCCGCTTTTCGAGCTGGAATCCGGCATTCCAGCTCAAAAAGCAGATCCCCGGTCAATCCCTCCTGAAAGGGGGCCGTGATGAAGGTTGTCTTGGGAATCCGGCATTCCAGCTCGAAAAGCGGATCCCCGGCCAATCCCTCCTGAAAAGGGGGCCGTGATGAAGGTTGTCTTGGGGATCCGCTTTTCGAGCTGGAATCCGGCATTCCAGCTCGAAAAGCGGATCCCCGGCCAATCCCTCCTGAAAGGGGGCCGTGATGAAGGTTGTCTTGGGGATCCGCTTTTCGAGCTGGACTCCGGCATTCCAGATCGAAAAGCGGATCCCCAGCCAATCCCTCCTGAAAGGGGGCCGTGATGAAGGTTGTCTTGGGGATCCGCTGTTCGAGCTGGAATCCGGCAATCCAGCTCGAAAAGCGGATCCCCGGCCAATCCCTCCTGAAAGGGGGCCGTGATGAAGGTTGTCTTGGGGATGCCAATCCCTCCTGAAAGGGGGCCGCGATGAAGGTGTCTTGGGGATCCGCTTTTCGAGCTGGAATCCGGCATTCCAGCTCGAAAAGCGAGCCTTAGAAAGGAGCCTTAGAAAGGAGGCTTAGAAAGGAGCCTTAGAAAGGAGCCTTGAGCCTTAGAAAGGGCCTTAGAAAGGAGCCTTAGAAAGGAGCCTTAGAAAGGAGCCTTAGAAAGGAAGGAGCTTCCTACCCCTATACTTTTCCGCGTGTAGTGGCTTCACTTCCGTAAGCAGTGACAGTTTCACTTCCGTAAGCAGTGACACCTTTTCCGCTCAGAGTGATCATGATTCCGCAAGATGTGACAAGTCTT